AAATGAAAAATATTGAAGTTTTGGCTTATCATTTAGTCAGATATACTTGCAGAATTTCTTACATAGACTTGTCCAGCTTCAATTTTTGGAACTGTCCATTATCATTTTAGGGATATCAAATTGTAAATCCAAAAATTCGTCAGCTAACAATATAGAGCCTAATCTGTGCAGGCTGGTCTGGTTCTATACTGGTGGCAAAGGCTGGTCATTTTTTTTTGGTTCCAGCAGGTCAAGGGTTTAAATTGGAACATTACCCAATAAAATGCTTCTGTTTTTTTTAAGAAATACATGTATTTTAATGCATGAATTTTAGAATCACAGTCAGTTTTTTGTAACATCAAGTTTTAACAAAGTTAAGTAACATGTATTTAATTTACAGGATGGTCTTTATTTGGAGTTGTCCTTTACATATGTTAAACTGTAAGAAGGGTCCTATTAATTCAAATAAACTGTACAACATAATATGTGAAGGTGATGAAAAATGTTCAATTTAATGTTGGGCATATTTATGCATAAACAGCATGTCAATGTAGAATAATTCAAAATTCAGTGTACAAAGCATAACAAAGTATGCAGTGAAGGTAATGTAATAAATAATTCATGAATCTACCTTAAAGAAAGCATTGATCAACTCTTCAAACAGAATGTGGTTCACTGATAACGCAAATTTTTGGAAATGTTAAACCAATTTCATGGTCAAGACATCTGGGTCAGGCTAGCATTGATGTAGAGCCAGGTCAGCATTGATGTAGGCCAAAGGCAGCACTGATCTTGACCCAGGCCAGTATTCATAGTCTAAGCTTGCTATGACTTAAGCCCAGGCCATTATTGATGTAGACCGAAGGCAACATTGATATAGACCAAAGCTAGCAATGATGTAGACATAGGCCAGAATTGATGTAGGCCCAGGCCAGTATTGATGGCCCAGGCCAGCATTGAAGTAGGCCTAGGTCAGAATTGATGTAGACCCAGGTCAGTATTTATGAGGCCCAGGTCAGCATTGATATACCTAGGCTAGTATTGAATTATCCCCAGGTCAGTATTGATCTCAGCCCAGGCCTGTTCTGATGTAAGTCCAGGCCAGAATCGATAAACCTAGGCTAGTATTGATGTAGGTTCAGGTCAGTATTGATTGAGGTCCAGGTCAGCATTGATGTAGACTCAGTCCAGTATTGATGTAGGCCCAGCTCAACATTGATGTAGGCCCAGCTCAGCATTGATGTAGACCCAGGTCAGCACTAATGTAGACCCAGGTCAGCACTGATGTAGACCCAGGTCAACATTGATGTAGGCCTAGGCCATTTTGTTGTAGGTCCAGGCCAGCATTGATATAAGCTCAGGCCAGCATTGATATTAGCTCAGGCCAGCATTGATATAGGCCAAGGTCAGCATTGTTGTAGACCCAGCAAAAAACAACAACAACAACTGTAGATATGATACACAGTCATGTATATTGCTAATTATGTTGAACCATATTTTTATTCCCTAAAGTATAGTAATTTGTAACTTTAGTCGGAGGTTATTCAGTGTTAATTGATGTCTAGCATGCCAATGTTCTTTCTGTCAAAACATGAATTTATTGTGCAGAACAGTACATGTTATTAGTGTTCTATTGTGCAGGACAGTACATGTTATTAGCATAATACCAGGTAGCTGACTTCATAATAAATCCTAGGAATGTGTTTCAATTTGAAACTTGTTTTCTATTTTTCATGACAGTATAAAATTTGTAGAATATTGTCTAAATATACTGAAAAGATATAGTAGACAAAAGGTTTAGTAAAGGATTAAAAGGACTATGGTGATTTGAAAATGACAAAGGCAATGGCTTAGTAGTATAGAAAAAACACTTTTAATTGCTTAAGAGTTTAACGTTGAGGCTTAATGTATTAAAATATTATACAATGTTAAAGGTCAAAATGATTTTTTTTTGTGAAATCCTTAAAAAGGCATTTGAAATTTACTAGCTGTTATATTAGTAATTAATAACAATATTCAATGTACATTATGAAATTATACTGTTCATTTAGTATGATAGCATATATACAATGTAAATTATAAAATGTCATTATGTAAAACACCGTATTAAATCAGCCAATGGTATTGTATATATATACATGTATAATACATATATATGTATAGATATATATAGGTTTTTGAAAATGTTTACATCTACAAAATACCTTTAAAAACATTGGATCCTAAGGATATGAATATATATATATATATACATGTGTATATAAATATATATTTATTTTTTATTTCTTGCTGATAAATGAGATTCATTTATATCTTATTCGCTAATATATATAGGAAAAATCTCTAAAATGTTTTAATGATATTCTAAAAGATCCTGTAATAAGACTATTTCTTCAAAACTCGGACAAATGAAATAAAGTAATTCGGGTTTTACCTAAAATGGGGCAGACTGTTTTTGAGTCCGCCTTTGACAGTTTAATTGAATTTTGCCAGGACAAAAGACTCTTTGAACAGAATAAGAGTAGGTTGTATCAATATTTTATAGAGATTTGTTCAATTTTGATTAAGAAATTACAGAACAAAAGCAAGACTAATTCAATTAATACGCATCAAAAGAATGATCGATCCTGCGGAGTAATTTAAAATGGTATATTGGTTTATATAAATCCTTTTATTCTCAAAAATACCATTACCTCTGTAAATAATTTAGACTGTTAAAGTTTGGATGCAAGTAATTATATCACAAGGGTGTAGCCCGAATTATATAATGATGCGCATCCTAACAACAAACAGTGATGTTATCAAGCGATAAAATCACTGATTTGGATATATTATTTCAATTCTAACACGACATCAATAAATAAATGCTGCTGTCCCTGACACTAAGCAAAATTGTGCTTGATTTGTTTCTTATTTTTAGCGCATCAGATTTTTTAGTAGTTAATCCACATGTATAATGATTACGTCACATATCTAAATACAGTTGACTCTCGGTAACTCGAAATCCAACGGACTTGGCATTTTACTTCGAGAGAAACGGAATTCGAGTAAAGTGAATCTGCCGCCATTACGTTGACATTCGTACATGTATATACATGTGCCTACTGAATGTGCAAAGAAGTAGGTTTGTTATTGTTGACAGCGGCAATGCACATGTTTTAATAAGCACTCACGACAATTCATTACAATAAAAGCACAATAACACATTTACTTCAACAACAATTTATGTAATATTTGAAGTGAATTGATCATCGGACGAAAACGAAAGTATCAACTATCGTAAACCGGTAGTTATTAATGTATGCAATATGACGGAAAATTAATTAAACAAATGTCATTTACCTTGATATCTAGGCTGTTATTTGACTAAAGCCTGTCAGACTGGAACGAGTCAACTTTCTAATAGAAATGTGTAAGACTACTCTGCAGGTAAACTTAATTACACTTAAATTAATTAAATCTTAAATTAGTTATCTAACTGTTAAAACCAATTAAGCGCTGAAACCGATTAAATCCACTTTTTTAATAATACATGATGACCGGCAATTAAAATTACTATGAAACGTGTGAATCACGAGTGACAATTAACGTCCCGCCTTGATGTCGCCGAACTTTGATCAGTCGGCTGTTTTCACACTTCGACTTATTGAAATGAAAATATGTTTGATTTTAATTGACAGGACCAAATTTTCTTTTCGACTAAACAGGAGTCTCGGTAAGTCAAAATTTGACCTAAGCGGAGTTAAAATACAAAGTTAAAGAAGGAAATTTGACGGGACTTTAGAAACTCTTCGACTAACGCGGAATTTTGAGTAAAGCGATTTTGACTTATTGAGAGTCAACTGTATATAACGTCAACAGTGATTTTATTTCAATAGTGAAATATGCGGGTCGTGTTAGAATTATGTTTAAAACACCTTCAATTGTTTACACCTGTGCCACACGAAATAAACAACCTAAATCAGTCACAATATTTTCATACATGAAAAGAAGGCCGGTTCTCTTGTTTAAGGTCACATGTCTTCATTTGGACAGTGTTAAGCATATTTGCTCACAGTCTAAAAACTAGGGTTATGGGCCGTTCAATTGATTTTCAGTCAATACGGCAATATCCTTTTAATTCAAAACTCAAATATGCTTATTGAATTTGCTATTAAATGTTAAGGAGTGTAAACTTCAAAAGAATACATTTAGCACGCTAAAGTTATCATACTCAAAATAAACAAACTGTGTCAAAATTGTTAATACATATTCAGAACATTTCAAGTGTTAGCTTATAAATTGGACTAATAGCTACAAAAAGCTTTAACACAAATAATGCCATAAGACTTTGCATAAAGAAATTTGTTATTTTAATATTATGATAAAAGCAAGCTACCTGCTGCGTATTGAATTGAAAATTTAAATTTCAAGTGTTATTTGATCAATGATCCATATATGCGCTAAAACTTGTGATATCAGTTTTAAAATTTAGGAAATCTGAGGTGTAATTTTTAGAGACTTCTACTTAATTATAGTCTTCTATTTAAAAATATGACTTTCTCAATTGAATATGACTGTTGCATTATAAAATAAACATTTTATTTTGATATGGTATTTAAATTTAAATTTAGTACCTTTAAAATAGTTATTTCATATTGATACAATTTATTTGAATTTAACTTTAAGTACCCGCCGGTTCAGTTCTTTTCAATGGCTATTTTTTTTTTTTTAGTATTGCTTAAAATAACTTAAATTACAGTCATTTATTGATTACAAGTAAACTTTTGCAGACTTTAAATGACAGTTAGTTGGCAAGTGATTTGAAGTAAGCTACCTTAACCACTCGGCCACGGAGCATCTTGGCACCAGTGTAGTGAAAGGCCAGCCAATATGACTAAGCAGTCTTAAGAGACTCAATCTTTAATGTTGTCTACTCAGTTTTAACATTTCAATCGTATTTTCAAAAATTTCACAAATCAGTTCTGAAAACTCGTATAGATGTACAAATTCCTTAAAAAAGATACATGTTTCTGTTGCAGACGTCATTTTCGGGAGGTATTAAAGCAACAGATGTCTGACAAAAACAAAATGGAGAAGATCGAGTTCCAAGAAAAGATAAAGGAAACCGAGCAGGCTATCAATTACGATAGAGACTGCAGGATGAATGATGCGCAGGAATATCACCGGAAACACTCGTACCTAATGCAGTATAGGGACACAAATAAACAGGTACTGTGATGTTCGTTTTTGTTCGAGATTGTATATGCATATAATTCAAAAGCAAAATAATCTAAGCTTTTTATCTCTTACTAAATACCTCCCATAAAAGATTTTAAATTCACTCTCTTATGGCACAGAATTAAAGTCTGTGCTTATGGGGGAAAAAAAAGCATATAAAAACACGATAACCCAGAGGCGAAGCTGACAACATCTACCACAATTTTTGTCATAAGACATAAAGCACTGTTGTCATACATTTTGAGTCATCTATGTTAATTTCTACTTTTTAAAATTGACCTTTAAAATGAAAACATCGTCATTTATCATTTTTGCTGCGCCATTTCTATTTGATAATATTGGCTATAATTTAACAGTGTCTTTTGGAAAAAATAACTTAAGATGACAATTATGTGTGATTTAGATACAAATTCAACAAATATGCACGTTTTCAACATGCAATCTTACGTTGTTTTTTTCATGTTTCAGCAAATGGAAGATAGATGGGCGAATACAAAATATAGCAGAGAATTAGAAAACAGAATAGATCGCGAGAGACTTAGATATAATCCTATCAATTGGAGCTGTTCCCTAAAATAGTCATGTTTCTAGTTCAACCGAAATATCCCTTCCTGTTCAACATAGTCTTCAATGAAGAAAGTATTTACGCATACTGTGCGTGTAGAATCCGACCACATTGTCACTGAATTGTTGCTCATAAAAATCATAAGTGGATGTTTGAAAGTATTGACTGCCGCAAGAGTTTATATTTCATTAGTGCAGAAACCGACGGAAGTTTTTGCCGTTTCTTTCACCAGTTCACAGAGAAGATATTTATTTCATTGAAAATGCTCATATAGTGATTATTGATTGCCTTTCAAGTTAAACATTATGAAAGCTCCCTGTTTAGAATAAATTGATGTCTGGAATTATTCATAAAGAATTGTTTATTTACCACCGTTCTCGGAAAAAATTAATAATGAACATGTACATGTTATATTGTTAAGATTCTATAGCCATTGACTCTCAATTTCAGTGTCGTAAAACTGCTCTCTATGCTACCCTGTGTAAAAAATATATACATATACATGTAGTATGTGTAATGGTAACTTAACTTCACTGCTTTTGTAAAAGTTACTCAATAATTGGCAGAATAGATTTCTATAGTTTATATAATCATATATATTTTTCTTTGCTCAATTTGTCTTATCTGAATGTCACAAATTATTTTTACACAAATGAATACTTTATATTTCAAATCCATCATTCAATTTTCTTGTTGAGAAGTTGTTACCATCTATTTTTTTATGAAATGAGAAATTAAAAAAAAAACCATCAAACCCTGAAAATACATGAAACCCTTAAACTTATGACGCTGAAGGGCTTAAACTAGAATTATAATTACCAACAAATGCCCCCACTTATTATAGAGCCCAGCAAGACCTAACATTTGTCGAGTCTGTGCAACCTTATCACTGTTGGTTGCTTTGCTTTGGTATTTTGAAATTGAAATCCCTTAATTTACTAACGGACAATGATAATGATACTATAGCCTTTTACCCAAATTTCGCATTATATTGCAACACCAAGAGAGCAATTTATTGCCCAATTTATATAAACGAATGAAAAGAAATGGCACTACATTTTGCTCATTAATTTAGATACTAGTACAATGGCAGCGTAGACGCTTATACGAAAATTTCAGTTGCTTTGCTTTTTCTGAATATTCCATACTATAGCTAGCACATTTGAATGAGAGTTTTTATAGACAACTGGTTAAAGTTGTTGCTTTCGAATCACTTGCCCTCACCTTTGTTGGTTTCAAAGCCTTCAATAATACAATATACAGAAACTTTCCAGCTAAAAACAGAAGGTAGTGAGGTGTCCACCACCTCAGATGCATTGTCCCATGCCCGGAATAATACACAGAAGGGGCACCTGAAGTCTTCCTTTGTGGAAAGTAAAGAAATTTAAAAAAAAGATACTGTAAATTCGCTGTGTTTGTGTGACTTGTGAATCACAGGGGGAAAATATTGTTTTCGTAAAAATAATAGAGGACATTTTAAATTTAGGTATAGTTTTATTGCATATGTAGAAACATTTGAGTAACGTTTTTTTATGCTGCAAATTGTATAAGATATTAAGTTGACTAAAGATCACTTGGTTTTACTATTACAAAACTTTGCTTTTATCCAAAGTCATGAAAGTTGAAAGAAATCTAGACTTTCATGACAAAGTGCCAAACTTTTTTCCAGTGCCAACAGTGGTTTAGAAATGATATGGTTTTCAATTTTTAGACTCCATTGTTAAAGGCTATGTACATGTATGCAAAACTTATATTAAATATAAAAGCTACATAATATTTCTTGCACTACTAGCATGTACGTTAACTTTAGTTTTAGAAAAAGTAGTATTTGAACATACTCTGTTTGTTCTATATGATTAGAATACCTCGGTTTATGTTAAGCATTTATCATTTATTGCTCACTTCATTTACAAATGTTCAATAAAGATAATTTAAACTTTAAGACTTAAAATATACAAGTAAAAAATTGAATGTATTTTTTTAACTAAAAGTTGTATTCATGTTTTTTTTCAGCAATCATTAGAAGCATATGATAGTATCTGTATTGTCATCAAATCATAAATAAGTTATTCTTGCAGCTTGTTATAAATGCACCAACTTTTCAGTATTATTTAAAGCACATTATCTGATGTAAGAAAGGTAACTCTAGCACGAGTGGATTTTTGTCTGGCAAGGATTGTGTCCCTTTAGCATACTCTTCAAGTTTTATAGCAACTGTTATATATAATCTCTTACTATGAATTATATGACCAAATGGTGAAACACAATTCACTTTTGGCCTATTTAATATGCTCTTTTTGCTCATTGTTTAAGTTTTGTTTTCATATTTTAGTTTGAATGAGGACTTGTTTGTATAGTGAAAAATTTTAAGGATATATGTTATGCATCAGATATAAATGTATTGCTGTTTGTTTTTTCTTTCAATTTTATTTGTCTACATGAGTTGATTTTTTTATAACCTTGTTAAATTGTAAACCTTCTGTGATCTATTGTTTTGTGTGTGGACTTCATAACTATTTATACAAAAATTGTTAAATAAAAGGTGTTACTTCAAATGTGAACTCGATCTTTATCTTTTTAAAAAAAGTTAACCCTAACCCTCTTAAAATTTGAATAATGGACTTGTCCTGCTTTGGAGTTGGAACAGCCCATTATCATCTGAAGGGAGTTCAGTACCAAAGTACTAAAATTAGCTACCCAATAGCTTGGAGCCTGGTAACACTGCATAGATGTACCAGACGCCCTGACTGTATACTGGTGCGTACGTTTGTTATTGTTGCTATTGCTCAATGAGTTACATGTAATTACATGTATCTTAAAATCTGAAAAGTGTGATCCCTCGGAAGCTTTAATCACAACAAAATTACATGAAAATTGCACTCGGTTTGATTGAGTCTGTACATGAAGGATAATGAAAAAGTGCAACATTCTTCACGCCCCCTACCACCGGCTTGGGAGACTTATAAAAAAGCTGGAGTCAATGACCCAAAAGGACCAGAAAAATATATCAACACTGAAGTGATCTTTCAAGTAAACAAAAGTCATGTACAATTCAGATATATTACACAAAAAAAAGAAGATATAGGATCTAACTACAAATGCAGCATGAACATGTGGGAAAAGTTATACATGTTCTTTGCTTTGATGTAACAGTTTTTAGGCTTCCAACAATGGACCCTTGCTGTGTTTAGTTTTATACAAATTGCCCAGTAGCTATTCAATAGATGTTATCTGGATTTCGGCAAATGTGGGCTTTTCCAAGCAAATCTCTCAAAAAAATTTTATTGTGAAAGCTTTATTAAGCATTGCCATTCAAACATTAGATTAGTCAACCAGTTGCTCTTACATTTGAAACTGTGAATTGTATACGACTAACAGGCTGGGAAAAACCCATACTACTCTTAATTCTGGAGTAAGTCTATTGCTATAATACATAGTTACCTGTTGGCCAGGTTTTGTTTGTAATACTGTTAGTGAACCTTTCATTACTGTATATTTAGAATCTGACACATTCTGTGGCAGTACTGTTGAGTTTTACGCACAGACACAGTATAGGTTATATGGCAACTTTCTAGCTTGACTTGTGGAGGAAGACCTCTGGTGCCCTTCCGTGCATTATTTCTGGCATAAACGGGCACCTTAGTAGAAGCACTGATGTCACATAAGCTATCTGGATGGCTTGATCGTATAAAAGAACCCGAAGACATCAAATCTGGCTAAGAATATCACAAATTTATTTCCAAGTATATTTCCAAATTACCTTTTGCAGAAGTTCCTTTTTTGTTTCATTCAAATTTCTTTTTCTTCATGAATACTCTTAACCCTATAAACCTGTGTAGCTTTGAAAATGGAACAGTCCATTAAAGTTTAAAGGGATTTCAGTATCAGGATACAAATATTGAGCAGCAAACAATATAGAGCCTAGTCAGACTTCATGGATGTGCAGGTTGGCCTGGCTTTTTACTGGTGGCAAAGGCAAGTCACTTTCGATTCCTGCCTCCAGATTCAAGCTAATTTTATGAAAATTTTGAAAATGCATTTGAAAGTAAAATATTGTGAAGCGAACAAGAAACTAATTTACACATTGCAAATGGCACAGTCAAAGTAAATTACCAAAATTATCAAAATACATATCATGCCAAAAAACCCTTATTGTGTTAAAACACTGTAGAAAGGTGATGATACAAATGTAAATACTGCAAAATCAGTTATTAATCACACATAGCATGTTAATTATTAATAATTGAATCATGAATCTTTTTACTTTCTTAAAATCTTAGTATATTTTTCTCAAAGTTGGTTTTCTTGAAATAGTTTGGCTCATCTACATGATCTAGAGGCATGCAGCTTGAAAAGTTAGAGTTAGGGAACTTTTGGTTCTCTTTTTGTATATAATTTAGGTAAATTACATAACAGAGGCACCATCTGCTTAAACCCTCTACAAGTATGATTGTAAGAATAAGAAATCAATAGGATTGTATTTTTTATGATTTTTCTAAAAATATTTCAACAACTTAAGCTATATACTCTTCACAGTTACAGACGGTGTAACAACCACTACATTTCTATTCTTCGAACCAATGTTTACCAACACTTGTACATAAAAGTCAAACCACAAATGAACTCTTTCCTTCCATCTCCCATGATATTGATTCCAAGAAAATCATCAAACACTTGTCAACACAAATTTTGTTAATGTCTGACTTAAAATGTCATTAGCAATGAATTATAAAAATGTTTCTTATCAATGCTATGAATTTTCCTGGGCTTCTTTTTCCTCCTGATATTTTTTGACTTTGTACTTTCCTCTCATGTCATCCGGCAATGTCTGGAAAGCCGGACATGGTACTTGTCCGGGTATCTCACATACACACCAATGGTTACTATGGTATCCAAAACTTCCTAAACTTGCCACTGTTTTCTCTGGTTTGCTAAAACACAAAACATAAAGAAAATAAAAATCATTGTAAACAGTTCTGTTTACTTACTACAAGATGATACCTGTGGCTGCTCCAACAATGGCCCTATGGGTGGCAGGCTGTGCAAGTCGCTGGGTGAATAAGTAGCTAAAATATCTATTTTTTTATCTTGAACATTTATCTTTATCAAATGATACTGGGTGCTTAGCATTTGTTCAAAAAGTTAAGAATTAAAGTTTAAACATACATCCCTATTTGAATAAGCAGTGAGGTACAAATGACCATAAAATTCAATGTCTGTGATCTGTTGTCACAGAGAAGTTTCACTTTGCCCAAGGATCTAACCAGCAACCCCTGATAACAGGACACCACAATTATTTTTAGCTGTTTTGGTTAAGAACCATCTACCTCTAGCAATCATCTTGTTCAGCATAATAAGTACATGTACATGCTTTCATATTTGTAACAATATAAAAACAAGATTGCATTTGAGAAAAATGCTATGCCACCGCATTAATCCTTGTACCTTCAGACAATAAGATTTTTTGATTTTTTTACTATATGTTTATATTGAAAATCAATGACCCCCGGGGCAAAGGCAATTTTGACCCCATGGCTATAATTTAAACAATCTTGCTAGAAGTTCATTTCATAATGTTTCATGCAAAATATCTAACCTCTAGCATTTGTCAATTACTAGAAGAAATTTTCTTAAAGTTTTTACTACAAGTCATGTTTAAGTTTTTACTATATACATATAAGGAAAACCAATGACCCCGGGGCGGGGCGGATTCTGATCCCAGGGCTATAATTTGAATAATCTTGGTAGAGGTCTACCAGACAATGCCTTATGCAAAATATCTAAGCTCTAGGCCTTTTGGGTCTTTACAAGAAGGTATTTTAAGTTTTTACTATATGTACATATAGTGAAAATCAATGACCCCCGGGGCGGGGCCGATTTTGACCCCAGGGCTATAATTTGAACAATCATGGTTAGGGTCTACCAGACAATGCCTTATGCAAAATATCTAAGCTCTAGGCCTTTTGGGTCTTTACAAGAAGGTATTTTAAGGTTTTGCTATATGTACATATAGTGAAAATCAATGACCCCCGGGGCGGGGCCAATTTTGACCCCAGGGCTATAATTTGAACAATCTTGGTAGAGGTCTACCAGACAATGCCTTATGCAAAATATCTAAGCTCTAGGCCTTTTGGTTCTTTACAAGAAGATTTTTTAAATTTATTCTTATAATTCCTTTTGGTTGCCATGGCAACCAGATTTCTGCATGGAATGAAATTCTTTCAACAACTTTGGAAGCCCTTCACCCAAGGATCAATCCTGCCAAGTTTGGTTGAAATTGGACTAGTGGTTTTTCACAAGAAGATTTTTTAAGTTCACTATATAATCTATATAACACACACACACACAAACAAACACACACACAGGTGAATCGCTATATGCCACCGCATCGCAGATGCTGCGGTGGCATAAAAATTCTGTAATATCCATGACTTTTTAGTTTTATACATTTGTACATGCCATTTCCAGAGTTCTGTCTTAAATCTCAGGATTTTTATTGGTCAGTGTACAGTCTATGGCAGTTTCTCACCAATCAAATACCTGAGATCTGAGTTTGAGAATTTCTTTATTACCGTACCTCGGATCCTTGTTAAATACCAAATATTGTAGCTTTAAGCCTCTTAGTTACTGAAGATTTAGCGAAGATTTCAGTTTTTTCCTTACAAGTCAATGAGCGCTCAGCCATTTATCATCATGTTAAGGCTAGAACATACATCCTCAGGAATAAGAGAGATAACAAGAGCCGTCAGTAGGAAAGTGTGCTCACCTATTCTCAGTGCTTGTGATAGTAAAAAATGTAAAAGTTTCTAAGTTCAAAAATGGCAATAATTATGTCAAAATCTATGTCAGAGTTATGGGCCATGAACAGTGACCTCCTATTATGCTTTCAAATAAGTGAATGAAGTTTCAACCCATTCCCTATATTAGTTTTAGAGATACCAACTTACATGCAAAAACTTAACCAATGAGTGATGGTGACACCAACACCTGTCAGGGGCAGTACAATAGCTTCCCTATTCCTTCAATAATTAGGCTAAAACCCTAAAGTATAACGGCAACACTGTGATGGTCTTATGGCAAATGCCTGGTAGAACCACCAACATTTTTTAAGCTAGCCTGATAGTTTCCTCACATGAAAAAATTCAAAGTCCACAGCAAGATTTGAACCCATAGCGGTTCTGCAAACATAAATAAATTAACCACAATATACTTACTATGGTCTACAGAAAGCATCTAATAAATGATCGTGAATTTCCTGTCTACTTCTACCATAGATATCTACTACATGTTTTTTACCATTATCTGAAGAAAAATAACAAGACATTACATAAGTATATCACAATTAAATATTAAATAAGATAATAGATGCTTTTCTTGAATGTGTACAAATTTTCCCACAATCATTTCTGAACTGGATCTATTACATATATATAGAAATACATCATGTACTTGTGTATCCTGCTCTGAATATTTGAAACAGTTTTACATACATGTAGCAGTGACCAGAGAAAGAAAACATTGAAGAATGTGTTGTAAATGTGACCAATAGATATCATCTCAAAAATATCAAAGTTAAAGGTGTTCAAAGTTTACTTTAGCTCTTAGCACCATATTGTTTTATGAAAATCTGCACACCTGTTGCAGAGTTTATGTCATTTAATGATTATTTCAGCTTGAATGGCCATCTTGTTCTGTGGCAAGGAATGATTTTAGCTATATTTGTAAAGGACTTCCTGAATTTCATCAGAATCTGCCCAGTAGCTAAGCAGGAGATATATTTCTACTTTTTTTAATCATTCTGTTAAGTTTCATCAGCAGAGCCTCGTTACCCCGATAAAGAGCTACCCTTGAGCTAGATATTCCTGTCTGTACCAGCAGCCAGTGTAAGATTCTGATATTCTGTCAAGTTTCATCAAAATCAGCCTTGTGGTTAAAGGAGATGTCATTTACAAATAGTTCCTTTTTTACTTTGTGGTCACATGAAGATGATTTTTAAAGTAGAACGTGACAATGAACAACATATTTCAGACCACAAGGCTGCTCACCTGAAAATAAAAGCTTGAAAGAAAAATACAAAAGCTATTAAGTGTAGTAACACTGCACAGCTCGAAACTGGTTGTATAGTCATAAGCTAGTCTGATATATTGCAGTGGTCCCTGATTTACTTGTTGAGGAAACCATCAAATACCCATCTTCCATTAGTTCATGCACAAGCTGGCTCTAGTAGAACCACAGACCTTTCAAAAGCAGTCTGGATACTTTCCACATGACAGTGCAAGTATTCATCAAAGTCCCTACCAACAGAAGCAATTAGAAAGTAAATTCTTTTTAGTTTAGATAAATGGTGTTTTTACATCACTAAAAAATTGTAAATTGTGGCATGCACTTACCACAGAATATCTGTATACACGGTGTTGGTGTCATATTCTTAAACTTCAACATCTGAAGTGTCACATTTTTATACTTGATCTGTGGAAAATGCCAGAAAATAAACTCACTGAAATACAAACATAGAGAATATCTTCATAACTTTGAAAGTCACTTGGGCAGAAGAAAATAGTTTAGACCGACAATCACCGTACCATAATATGACCAAAGTTACTTTCTGGTAATAGAAATAAATCACATTCTTTTAAACTTAAAAATAGAAATTTTCTCAAAAATATATATTTAATGACTGTATAATTATCTATATTTGAATTGACTAAGGTACATCTATTTACAAATTGCAGTTTAATTACAGGAGTGATGAGTGATCATATGTCGCCTGATAATAGTCAAATAAGCAGAGAACTTGTATCGAGGGATAATTGACAAGTTTGTTCATGGCTACTTTGTGGCAGCATGCTGCAACTACAGAGTAGCAAGAGACATAAAAATCAATTAGCAGGGCAAAATGCTTTTTTATTTAAGGGCCATAACTCAGCAAAAAATCATTCAACTGAAAAAAACAACTAATAATGCACAGGTACTTGAGGTATCCATCAATCCTGTAAAGTTTCACTCAAAGAATTAGTAGTATAAGAGAAGTAGTCCAGACAAAACTTTATGAAACAAAAATAACTAAAGACCCATGCCTCTGACAAAAATCATAGAACTGGAAAATGCCAACAACTATACCTAGTGACTGACCATTACCTGGTATCACATAATGGTAAAAGATTCAAAATACTGGGATTTTTTTTATCATGACCGGTTACAAATTTTTGGTTTTAACCAGAGACCTCTTAACCATATCGCAACAGCCTGTTAGACATGGCCTACACCTAATATGATTTGGTGCTACCTTTGGCGCGGAAAGCTCTTAGGAATTATGATTTAGCATAACATGTTTAGTGTGCATGTAAACCAGATCTTTCTTGCACTTCATGAGTACAGTATAATAACTTAAATACCGTAAACAAAACAAATAAATTGGTGGTGTTCAACCTATCATCGGAGTACTCAGAATATTTCGAAAAATCTCCGAACGTAAAGGGGACTACTGCGCATGCGTCGGCGTTTGGAAAATCCCGCCCGCTATTTTTGTTAATCTCTAATCACAGTTGTTGTTTTAACATTATTTTTTAATGTGCTAATTCATCAAAAAGGATATGTTAAAGTAACTTTTTATATTTATAACCGTTACTCTAGTTCTTATCAATGAAATGCCTGTTTATTTACTGATTTTGTACATCATTCTTTCACCGGAAATGTTATTTAGGAAGCGTCTGCTAGCAATAGTTTGAATTAAGTAGACGCTCTTTTAAAGCGCTCTGTTATCTATATTTAGCTCAAAAGGATTTCAAAATGGCGGCGTCCAGTTAACTAAGGATTTTCATTAGGTAAAGGACATATATTTTTTTTGAAATTTTTATTTACTTTTAATTTGATTTCATTTGAATTGATACGCATCATACATGTAATCTAAGAGCGCTACAGCCCTCACGGGGCCTCCGGCCCCGCTCAGACTTTCCGCGTATAATCACTACACCATGCACTGGTACTTCTCCAAATCCCTCCAGAGGCATGCACTTCGGGGAGAAGGCACATGGCAGGTCAAGGTCAAGTCATCTCAAGTACCAGAGATGATTGATTTACCTGTCATGACTTACTCTGGAGGATGGCGCTAACAATGGTCGTTTTTGTTAGAGATGCCGTTGGAAAGCTGATGCCTTAGTAGTATTGTCGTCTTCTTCAACCACCAACAAGCGAAGAACAGGTTCCATGAAGATTCTGCATGAAAACAGAAAAGACGTCCCTGATGTGACTACAACAGTGGACTGGCAAGGACGCTATAATCTTGGACATATGGTTATTCCCAAGCCGAGTAATATGAAATTAGGCAAAGCCTATGAACGGGGAAGTCGTTAAAAATTCCTTTCATTCTTTCCGTTTTAAAGGTGTCATTCGGTATTATATGCACCGCTTCCGTTTTCACTCGGAACACTCGACCATTATCATTTATCCGAAAAGTTGAGATTTGTTCCGTTATCGGAATACCCCGCCTATTATCATTGCATTACATTGTAAATGGCGGCGCCCGACTAGAACTGACACTGAAAATTTCATTGATAGGTATAGAATTCTATATATTTTTTAATTGTTTTTTATTTCATTTTCTTTTAAATATACACGTGTAGTCTATAGCCGGGCAAGCCAAAGCCCGGACCCGCTTCGCGGGCCCGGTCTTTGACTTCCCCGTATTAACAAACTTAAACAACCATGCACTGATGAATTTCATACTCTTGTTGCAAGTAGTGAAGTACTTACTAAGCTCCTGAACTTGATTTTTGATCAAGATTATAATTTACTGTCAATACTTTAATCTGCTCGTGAAAAATTAGTTTGCCAGCATCTAAATAAGCCTTTGTCCGCCTGACAGGCGCAGCTCCTTTCATAAAAGGCATAGTTTATTGTGAAAATAAAGTGAATAACTACATAAACAAGCGAGTAAATGTTGTTGTTTTTTGTAAAATGTGTTTTTTGATAGCCAAAAAGTAGTCGCTGATTGACCTTCACGGTGAAACGCTTGAATTCCAACGTAGAATTTTTTTTAAAGCGCCTGAGAGATCGACCGGTTAAGTTTTACGACAAGTTATACGCTTTCAATCAACAAAGACAAGTAAAATAAATGGAATAGAACTTTGTTTCTTTGAAGAAACGTTTCGTATGAGTAAGGCCCTATATTAATACTTCTAAAACAGGTTTTATGATATTGGACATTTAAATTAGGAATTTAAAAAAATTACGACAATGCAGACGAAAACATGGCTCCATCACAAAGTCAAGTCGTTACTTTAGCTGCCGGGTCTGCGTTGGTAGTCGGTGTTATTTTCACAATATTTTTGGTGAAACGTAAAAATAGAAACGAAGAAAATTCAGGTGACCGCATTTTTTTATTCCAAGTCATGTGCTTTGATCCACAGGGGGCCCACACAGTGTTTGGATGGTATATACTGCTTGATAGTGACCTTAAAATGAGATTTTAGTCATAGCCTTATAATATGTATATAAATATAGACAAGGGGCATTACTCGCTAAATAGAGAATTTTCGATCACCCTCAAATTCATGCGAGATTTTCCACTAATTAAATAAAAAAATTCCAAAAACTATACTGCGTTGCATAGCTTATATAATCCACAATTGATAAACACTAACTCTTTTCTGATTCCCTTAGCCCATTTAAAGAAATTTATTCAAAACCGTTCACTTCTGTCACAAAATTGCTTAGTCGTACGAGATGTCGCAACACCAAATTCCACGGGTAAACTATCAATTTTAAAAGGGGTAGGTACAAATAAACGCATGCAAACAATAACACACCATAGTTTCTATTACCTACCTGCGCAAATAGTCGTGAAGCGCTCTATATTCGTCTGTTTCGAACGAAATCTTCAAATCAGTGCAGAAATCTGCTTCGGCGAATACATGTTGGAAATTCTGGTCATGGTGTATGGAAACCTTTCATTGGTTGTCGTTATCAACAAAGTTCCTACCAAACCAATGAAAGGTCTCGATACACCGGCTGGTCACGTGACCGGGGTTTCCCCAAGATGTCTACGTCGAAGCAGATTTCTGCTCTGATTTGAAGATTTCGTTCGAAACAGACGAATATAGAGCGCTTCACGACTATTTGCGCAGGTAGGTAATAGAAACTATGTTGTGTTATTGTTTGCATGCGTTTATTTGTACCTACCCCAGGGATCATTCTAGGGGGCGATTTCCGCGATTTCTCGCAAAAATATCACCAAAATCTCAGAGAAATTTGTGAAATGAGAGAAAATCTCGCACGGCAATTTGAGCCGGAAAATGTCTAAACACAATCTAAGGAATGCTAAAATTACACAAAAATATGATGAAAAATTCACGATCAAGAATTTAATTTCAAATTGTTAATTAATGAAATCGGTGTAAAAAACTCCAAAAAGTAGTCCAACACTTTGAATTATTTAGCCTAAAATAATTGCCGATCGGAGACCGCAAATTCACCGTACAGAAATACTGTATGATGGCTAACCTTTATCTATCTGTAAGTCGAGAATTTACACAAAACACTTTTAATTGATTTTAATAAAAAATTTTAGACACAGACTAACATATAAAAATGGACATGTCAAAAAAAAATCTACCGGTAAAATTTGTCTTCTAAATGTCACATCAACCACGGTAAATTTTGCCGTAAAGGACAAATTTAAAAATTTTGTTTTACGATTCCTGATGAAATAGCCGATAATAAATGTTCTTTTATTGAACAAAAATATTTAATTTTATATAATTGCAATCAGCAACAGCTAGAATTGTGAATGTTTCAGCGGAAGACGGACAAATATTCATTTGTCACATATTTTCGCGATGTCGTGATTAAAAAAAATACTAAAAGGAAGCCGAGTGTTATTTAAAGGTGTTTTATAACACTAAAAAAGATGTTTATGAATAAAAATTACTTTAGTTATTGTTTATATTTGTGGATATGGAGATATTTGTCATTATGTGTTCAGGTATATTTTTTAATGGAGGGAGGTGTGTGAAGAGAATCATAAAGAAAACAAAATGAAAGGTTATAAAAATATTCTTCAAATCTCAACAATCACTTCTGTACAGTACAGTGTTGTCCATTAGGAACATTGACTGCAAATAATAGTTGTAGTAGATATCCATGTATAATTCTTTTATATTTCAGAATAAAGGTGTTATATTTATTTTTCACAATTAGAATTTTATTATGTTTAAAAAAATCACAAAAGAAAAGGCATAGGATGTGTTAAAAAAGTGAAAACAAAAATCACTGTAATAAACAGAGCTACATCTTCTTATATCCTCATTAGATAAACAATGTTTATATGTACAGTGATTTTTAAAAAGTTAGAAATTTCCATATTTTTAACCTCGCCCATCATGAAAATTATTTTTAATCTCTCAAGAAAATCTAATTTCTCTCATCGAAATTTCTCAAATGAGAGAAAATCTCTCACTAAAAATCCTGACCAGGATGATCCCTGCTACCCCTTTTAAAATTGATAGTTTACCCGTGGAATTTGGTGTTGCGACATCTCGTACGACTAAGCAATTTTGTGACAGAAGTGAACGGTTTTGAATAAATTTCTTTAAATGGGCTAAGGGAATCAGAAAAGAGTTAGTGTTTATCAATTGTGGATTATATAAGCTATGCAACGCAGTATAGTTTTTGGAATTTTTTTATTTAATTAGTTGAAAATCTCGCATGAATTTGAGGGTGATCGAAAATTCTCTATTTAGCGAGTAATGCCCCTTGTCTATATTTATATACATATTATAAGGTTATGACTAAAATCTCATTTTAAGGTCACTATCAAGCAGTATATACCATCCAAACACTGTGTGGGCCCCCTGTGCTTTGATCCTTTGAGAGGCTCACAATAAACATTGTAGTCCAAATAATTAATGCATAGTATTAGTACGATGATGTATTGTAATTGTACTATCAGGTTTTGATATTGCAGTGTTCAATCTAAAACAAATTCCCAGGGGGCCCTTCGGGCCTATAAACTTTTCAAAAGGGGGTCATTTGAGAAAAAAGGGGGCCCCACACTTAAAAGAACATCAAATTCAAATAAGGTATTGTATCTTTTAAGTTAGTTGTTCATGTACCATATATAGACCAAAAACGGTTGCAAAATTCCAAAATAATCAACTCACTAAAAAAATGGCATTATTTTGACCTTTTTTGAGAGTTCTGTTAGAGTTGATACAGGCTCAATTTTAAGAACTGATTGGTAAAGAAACGATGACATAATGAATGATTAATGTTCAAAGGAACATATGACTCTTATTTTAATGTTACCAGGAATATTTGATAATAATGTTCAGTTTTTTAATCAGCGCCCGATATATAAAAGAAAATCATATTTCCCAATTAGCTTTGTTGATGAAGACTATAAACTTACAATAGTCGCTAAAAACATTTACCCTTCTCAATATATCCAAGCGAAAAACAAAGTGTCAACAGGTGCTAAGACAATGTATATTGACATAACGGTACCTTTGATCTTTTGTCAGGGCAGCAGTTCTTACGTTACGCTTAAGATGTCTGTATTGATTAATGATATGCACAATGTTTAAGCGCCGACCAGCCAAAGACCAATCAAAGCAGTGTTCCCACTTCTATTTTTCATTGGGAGTATTTTTACCCCTTACCTTTGAAAACTGGGGGTAAAATAAAAATTCAGGGGGTACTTAAATTTGTACAATACAATATTTATATGAAATTTAAGGATAATTCCAAAATCATACATCAGACAATTATGCTGTTTTCTTCAAGATTCACTTCATCACTGCCCCCCCCCCCCCTTAGGTAAAATTAATTGTGACCAACACATACTGGCATATATCTCAATCTCAATTAATATAAACATTATTGAAGTTATCTAAGTTCATAAACAGCATATAAATTGTGACTACACACCTTTGAACAAAACAAAGCTTCCCTTTTGTTGATGTTTTTAATTAACAAAATCGGCATCGCGAAAATATGTGACAAATGAAAATTCGTCAGTTTTCTGCAGAAACATTTACAATTCCAGTTGTTGCTGATTACAATTATATTAGAATTAATATTTTTTTAATATTTTAAGACTGTTTTTCATTGGCTATTCTTACAGGCATCGTAAAACAAAAATTTCAAATTTGTAATTTACGGCAATAATTCCCAGTTGGGGGTCTGTAAACTTCATTGTGAATTCGGAGATTTTCTCACATTTCATCAATTTCAATGCACTTTAAGTGAATTTTGTTTGAAAAATTGCTCAAAAGAATAATTTTTGAATTATACATGATTAAGATTCCGACTTTCTGTGCGTATTTTTACCCTCTTGCCTAAATTTCTGTACGTGAATTTTGTTATTTGTGCGTAAAATACGCACATATGTGCGTAAATGGGAACACTGTCAAAGTTTATTTACTCAATCGTCAGACACTCCCTAGCCAATCGTGTTTGATTAGCTCCATCTTTAAGACTTTTTTAATTGGATGAAGGCATGTTCGTAATTATTTATGCACACTTCTCTATAATTAACTCGCACTTTTCACAAATATAATAGTTTTTTTTTCCTCCGGAAAGTTATGACATAATAAATTATTTGTTTTGACGGTGAAAAAACTATAACTACACGCACGTATTGGATTATCTGTGACTATTTGTTTATAAAAACTGTGACTCAAAAGTAAGTAATAGTGACAGTACGAAGAACAAGTCTACATAGTATTTACAGATCCCGACCGAGAGAGTGTAACGATCAAGGTTATAAAAGGGTTACCAAGTGCGGTAACTATCTTACCAACATGCTCTTGTTTTTCTATACAAACTTCAGTTTTGAATTCAGTATTTATTTATATTATTCACAAGAAACTTTTTTTATGTACTTAATCAGGTTTAAGAAAGCATTCTAATGTCATTTAGGGCATTTTCTATGAGTGCGCCCATCGGGCCCACAGTTGAATTTGTTTTGCGCCGGCGGTCTTTTCAGGGGGTCAATGGCGAAATGGCGCGCTCTAGATTGAACACTGTATTGTGCTATTTTGTGTATGGGCAATATCTCTCCTCTAGGTACAACATAGGTAACTTTTCTGTGGTGAAATTTTTGCCTGGCACAGGTGTTTGGCAAGTGGCCTTGACTTAAACTATACTCCCATTCCCTTATCCGTTTTAACATTCCATAGTTTTATTTATGAAAATATACAAAAGATAACAATTGTTATAGAAAAAAAATGTATTGTCAATATATAGACTAGTCCAACTAAATTAATTGTACTACGGGATGAGAAATTGTGCAATATCTCCCCTCTCCGGCTCTAGTAGAACAAGAACTTAGATATTTCATTGTTGTGAACTTTTTTGCACAAAAAAAAGAATATATTTTAATTTATAATCTTACATTAAAAAAATACAGGGAAATAAATGAAGGGAGATCATTTAATGTGTACATGTGAAATCGCATAGTTACAATAAAAGGGGTTTAAGCTTATCTGTTTTAAAATTGATTCCATAGTTTTATTTATGGAAATATACCTAAGATAATGATTGTTATAGAAAAAATTGTATTATCAATATATAGACTAATCCAACTAAATTAATTATACTACGCAATGATATATTGTGCTATTTTGTGTATGGGCGATGTCTAACCTCTCAGGCTCTCGTAGAAGTGAGATTTCTGACCCAGAACAAACATATCTCGGAATCTAGCTTTGGCATGTCTATATATATTTTGACTTTATACAGACATTACTGCTAATGTTTTGCGACAAATACACCAGTGAGTACTGTGACTATTATGGACATGGTACAGCATTATTAAGAACACATTTGGATCAAATACTGAGCGACTCTTTGTAAAATATTATGTTTTATTTTATATTCAAAATTATAAAAGGATGAAAATATTATTTAATGGGAGGAGATGTACAACTAATTTGTTGTTGCCAGAGCATCATGGGTTCTTTTTAGTATCAGTTATCGTTATTTAGAAAAAGCTAGCTCTACTCTGGATATGTACATCACACATACATTTCTTCTTGTTAAAAACTCAGGCATTTTGTTCATTTGTGAATAATAGGAATAATTAATAGGTGATATTAGTATTATACATTTTTGTCAATGATTATTGTCAAGATCATTATTATAATGAAAATAGGGGTATTTATAAGAGCACACACATGAGGCTTGTCTAAATTCTAATAGCAAGGGATTAGTTTTGAGTGACAATGAGAAAGACTCGATTTCTAAGGAATTTGACAGTCTGTTATTTTTTAACAAAACGCAGCTAAAACTGCTCAACATGTGCATAATACTGCACAAGGGGTATCATCATTGGGAAAATGTTGGCATAAGTCAGAGGCAGGTTTGTAATGTATTTCCAAGAGAAATGAGATCTACATGTTATTAGCTGATTGCTTTGTAAGTTCATTGTACTCATTTGTTACTTTTTAAGGTCAATTTGGATTACAAGCCTTGCCTTCTGTCTGCATCACACTCAAGGCTCTTTAACATGTCTTCAGCACAATATTATGTATGCGATGTATAGTCACACAACAAGATCCAAATTTCAATGTTTTCCAGTGCAGCCAGATTATCTGTAATTGAATCTCTTATAAATTTGTAGTGTTTGATTCTTAACAGAAATCCAAGGATCAAAGAGAGATAATCTGTAACTCATGTCTTGCTTGATGGCAGTCTGATGTCCAAAAAGGAGGTCAAGAAATTTGTCTTTCCTTGTAGTGAAGTCAGCAAGCTATCTTTAGATCATAAGATGGTGTAAGCAATTATGTCTAGCAAAGACCGGTTTGTGTGGCTGGACTATTTTTGTCCTGTTATTCTCATGTTTATTTTTCCTAACCTGTAATTATGAAGTTAAATTTAATTTTTTTCATTACAGCAAGGCCAAAAATAAAGAAAGTACAGGAAAAAGTCTATAATGGGGAAGAGACAATTCCAATTGAAACATCAGGGCTACAAGGAGAAGGAGATAGTTTTCTGCTGGATTCAAACAGTGGTCCCCCTCTACCTGATAAAGAGGGGCTTACAATTTCGACTTCATGGGCAATACTAAATGATGACGAGTCTCATATTAGTAGTCCCCATCTGTCACCTGTCGACAGCGAGACTAGTTTATCCATTATCAATGGCACAGACAACGAAAGTGCACTTGATAATAACTGGGATGATTCAGCTTCAAACACAGTGCTCGAAGCTGGCGACCAAAGTACTATTTTAGTTGAAAATGGTAGGTCTGCAATATTAGACATTTGGTATATGATATCAGTGCTCTTAATAGGCCCTAGTAACTGGGAAAATTGCTAGCTTCTGTAAAATTTACTTACAGCAATTTTTTCTAAACTATCATAAATTACAGTGCTGTGATATCACTTGGAGATGGTTTACTGCTGGCAAAACTTAACTGCGTAGTGCTTACTGCAAAAATTTTCTTTGGCTATCTTAAATTTTATGTAGAGTACTGCAGTTTTATGTTATGAGATTTTTTTCTGACAATGATATAGAAAGATGGGCTTATATGATGTGGACTAAAATTTAATTGTATCACATCTGCACTAAAAATATTTCAGTTACACATGACTGAACTGTGAAGGTTAAGGTCTGGCCGAGTGGTTAACGCTTCGGACTAGTAATCTTATGATCAATTGCCGCATGGGTTCAAACCCTGACAGGGGCAAGTCGTTGTTTCCTTGAGCAAGAAACTTTACACTCATTGCTCAGTACTGGTTGGTTCCAGGAACGGATTCGAAAGTGTGTTTATAAGCTAATAGCTTCCTACACAATCGAACTAAAATAAATTATAAACCAAGGTTAAGGTCATTTTTGATATCAATAGTAAATACTGATTAAATTTCTCTTCTTTATAAAATGATTGAATATGTTTTTCAAAATCAGTCTAGACTTTTCTGTACATGTACATTGTATATCAATATCTTTTTAATTGAATTGATTCCTAAATATATGTACATGTACTTTCATTATAGTACCATTATCTGGACGTCTGTCATCAGTAGAGCGTGAAACAGTTGCTATGGAGACGATAGACATACAGTACGAGGAACTTCTCAAAGAGCATAAAGAGTCCGAATCTCAAACATTTTCATCTGATGAAATTAAAGAGGCGCTGATGGCATCGCAGAACCCTTCACAGGGCCTCACAGTTCGCAATGCAGAGGTGCTGGCAGGGTTACTTACCTTTGAAGATATTCATTTGAAACATACTGCTGTACAGGGTATAGCCAATTGTGCTACATTCAGCAAAAATCAGGTAAGGAATTAGCAAATTAATAGCTAATGTTAAACTAATTAGATTATATGTCTCACTTGTCAGATGTCTATCAGAGTTGTCATTTAAAGTACAAAATGATAGCATTTGGGCCACCTAAAAACTTTAAAAAAACACTGGTTGTTGTATGTGATAAAACCAAAAATGACCACCTCAGTTTCAGATTAAACCATCTTAAAAAATTTAATGACAAACCTGGGTTATTGTCTGACATTTGTGGCTGTTGCCAGGTCGTTGCCAAATGACTTTTATCATGCAAGTGTGTTAAAATATTATCCAAAAATTAAGTGTTATAGGGTACCCAAAAAGTTCATGGCAAATGTTACATCCATAAATTTTTATACCAAAAAGAAATACCTAGAAAATGTCTCTGCATATTGTTTACATGCAGGAAGTGTTTATATAATATCACATTGTAATATCTCATTTACTAGTCAGTGAATGACTTTTATTTCTTATTAGCCTAATGCAGGATCAATATTGTTAATTTTTAATGGCTTGAGACAAGGTAAGTGGGACAAAGAATGAGGTCAGAAGAACAATGCAGTGTCTGTGTAAAAGGTGCATTGATTTTCTACAATTGTTTCATATTATGATTATGCTGAAATGTGCATTGTGCAAGAAAGATAATTAGAATTTAATTGCAATTTACAAAAAAAGAAGAAGAAAAAAGCTTGCTTTTTGTGTTTGAGGAGAAATGAAATGCTTTGTACAAGAAAGGTAACTCCAAATAGCTTACTTGTACATGTATAAGCTGCTTTATACAAGAAAGGTAACTCCAAACAACTTTCTTGTTTAAACTACATTGTACAAGAAAGGTAACTTTAAAAGGCTAACTTGTATAAACTGCATTGTACAAGAAAAGTAACTCCATATTGCTAACTTGTTTAAACTGCATTGTACAAGAAAGGTAACTCTAAAAGGCTAACTTGTATAAACTGCATTGTACAAGAAAGGTAACTTCAGACAGCTTACTTGTACATGTATAAGCTGCTCTATACAAGAAAGGTAACTCCAAACAGCTAACTTGTATAGACTGCATTGTACAAGAAAGGTAACTCTTTATGACTTGTATAAACTGCACTGAACAAGAAAGATAATTCAACTCTGAAAAGCTTACTTGTATAACTGCACTTTGCAAGAAAGATAACTCCAAAAGACTAACTTATATTAACTGCTTTGTACAAGAATGATAACTCCAAAAGGCTAACTTTTATACACTGCATTACATAAGAAAGATATACAAATTGCATTGTATGAAAAAGATAACTTTAAATGAATTGTTTAAACTGCATTGAGCAAGAAAGATAACTCCAAAAGACTAACTTGTACAAACATATTTGTGCAAGAATGATGACTTCAAAAGGCTTTCTTGTATTAATTGCTCTGTACATTAATGATAACTCAAATGGCTAAACTTTTATACACTTCATTATAGAAGAAAGATAACTCTGGAAAGCTTACTTGTATTATCTGCATTGTACAAGAAAGATAACTCCAAATGATTTGTTTTCCTATAGCATATCAAATTTTAGAGTTTTAACAAAAACTGTCTCTGTTGCCAAATTTACACGATTTTTTTCAAAGCTGAATGAGCAAAAATATTTCAAAAATATATTTTCTAATTATATTTTTATATGATCTTTGAAAATCTGTCTGTTTTAAGTGTCCCTGTTGATCTATGTAACAAATTCAAATTTTTATGTTTTTAGATTCTGGAACTCGGTGGAGTTCCTTTAAGGAAAACATTAATAAACAAATGGTTCGTAAAATATATGAAACTGCTATTTCTAGTTTGCAAAAAATGAGCAGTCCAGCTTTTCAATTTAGGTACCTTTGTAGTGATAATTTTCAAGATAACTAACATTGTTACAGCCAAATGTAGCTTTATGCCTTTATATAAGATAATTATCATAATTAAGATGTCTTAATTCAAAATAGTTCCTACAAACACTTCACAAGAGTTCTCAGCATTTTTTTTGCTTCAGGTAATTTAGATACCGCTGTAAGATTATGACCAAATGTATTGATTGTTTTCTATTTATTTCTGCAGTACATGATCCATGAATAATTCAATCAACAATACTTCCCTCAGTTTTACCTTTACACAGAATATAGTAGACCAAATTTCTCGTAGTTGATTTGTCCAAAAATAACTAATTTCTGATATATTAAAATATTTAGATTTTTGAATTCTGGAAAAATATATATATTTATGATAAAGGGATATCTTATTTAAATTTAAAATAGTTCCTGTGATTTTATGGTATCTCATGGCATTTAAAGCTGGAAAATACAAACTTGTATATTGTGATGGAATTGGTAATGGGAGTTTGAATGAATTTGGACTAAATGGGTAAGAATTCATGTTGAAAAGTTTAAGAATTATATAAATGTTTTCATTTTATGCTATTTGAAGGAGTGGTGCATTAGCATCACTATGCAATGTAGTGTAATAATTATAAATAGAAGTGTAATATAAATAATTGTAATTGAAATGCTCCTATTTAATCTTCATAATGGACATGTCCTTCTTTGACGTCAGAGTAGTCTATTGTCAGTTTTAGGGCTTTTTCAAAATTATAATTGGAAAGTGGTGCCATATGATCATGGTCAGCACTGTTGGCTACTTAGTCACTACATATTTTAAAATTTTTCTCTAAAAATGATAAATGGTTTTGTCCAGACTGAAAAAATCCATTTCAGATATTATTGAGTGTGGCAGTAGTTAATACTGTAGCATAAACTAATTAATGTCATTGAATGAAAAAGAAAAGAGAATGTTCATGTAAATATTTGAAAATAGAGTGATTTTTTATGCCCCCGAAGGGAGGCATAATATAATCGCACAGTCTGTCTGTCCGTCTGTCTGTCCACACTCACGGGACAGTAATTATGTGGCTAGAGGGACAATAGGTAACTGTTCTTTCTCTTTGATGTCATTCATTCCGTAATGCTTTTATATGGCTATTTTCTTTTGTGTGGCTAAAAAGAACAATAGAGAGAACAATAGAGTAGCCACATAATTACTGTCCTGTGAGAACCTCCGTCTGTCCAACTTCATTTGTGTCGGAACTGTAACTTTGTCATACATTAAGGGATTTTGAAATAACTTGGCACAAATGTCTACCACATCAAGACGATGTGTCACGTTCGTACCTAAAAGGTCAAGGTCTCACTATCATTTTGAAGTTTCTCATGATCACAATTTATAGGTACACACAATCGTGTCCGGGCTGTAACTTTTTCATGCATGGATTTTAAAATAACTTGGCATAGATGTCTACAACATCAAGACGTTGTGATGTGTCCAATAATCACGTCCCTACCTCAAAGGTCAAGGTCACACTACCATTTTGAAGTTCACTTTATCACAATTAGAGTTTATAGGTACACACATTCACCTCCGAGCTGTAACTTTGTCATGCATCGAAGGATTTTAAAATAACTAGGCATAAATGTCTATCACATCAAGACGACAAAGACTCATGTCCCTACCTTCAAGGTCAAGGTCATGATTATAGTTTGAAGGTACTCATTCTCTTGAGAAGAGTTTGAAGATTCACATTCATGTCCAGACTGTAACTTTGTTATGCATTGAGGTATTTTGAAATAATTTGGCACAAATGTCAATCTCATACGAACATTTTGTCGCATCTAGGAACCACGTCCCTTCTTCAAAGGTCAAGGTCACACATATATTTTGAAGGTTCATGCTATCACAATTAGAGATTACAGGTACAATAATACAAAGAACAATATTCAGCAATTAGTTACTTTCATTGTCTTTTCTTTTCATAATACCTGCATGCCTAAGAAACCTTTTCGGGGGCATTTGTCACTTGGGTGACAGCTCTTGTTGCTTTCTGTTTTTGTCTTTCATAATACTGCCAATTATCAGTTTCGGGGATGTCACTATGACATTTGAAGTAATTTAAGAGCCTTGTCAGAATGCATGAATGTGCGGGCTGGCCTGGCTCTTTACTGGTGCCAAAGTCAATGTAACTTCAGTTCAAGCACTGGGTAAGGGTTTAGAAATGGCAAGTTGATTTATATAATAAAAATCATAAAGAAAGAAATTTAACATTTTACTACTCACAGCTCAAAACTGAAAAATGTTGCTAAATTCTTCATGTATGTGTCTGCATATTTATATCTCCAATTAATAAAAGTATCACTAGTCGTCCAATGTCTTGTATGGAAGATAGTTAATGTAAAAATGATATGTGCAAGTGTTTTAATTAATCTGGTATCTGAATGTTTACCTGGTCGTGGGTGCTTTAATTTATGCTAATTTAATGGCTTGGTATTCTGATAATAAAAATTGAAATCGAGGATTATTATTTTTGTTGTAGCAACTAAAAATACTTGGAATTTCTAAAAAGTTGTAAGTTTTTTTTTTCTTACATTTTACCATTGACCTTTTTTTTGTTAGCTCACCTGTCACAAAGTGACAGGGTGAGCTTTTGTGATCGCTTTTCGTCCGGCGTCCATCCGTCGTCCGTCCGTCCGTAAACTTTTACTTTAAATGACATCTCCTCATAAACCACTAAGCCAATTTCATCCAAACTTCACAGGAATGTTCCTTTGGTGGTCACCTTTAAAAATTGTTCAAAGAATTTAATTCCATGCAGAACTCTGGTTGCCATGGCAACCGAAAGAAAAAACTTTAAATATCTTCTTTTAAAAAACCATAAGAGCTAGAGCTTAGATATTTGGCATGAAACATCTTCTAGTGAGTGTCTACCAAGTTTGTTCAAATAAAAGCCCTGGGGTCAAAATTGGCCCCGCCCCGGGGGGTCATTGATTTTCCCTATATGCATAAAGTAAAAAAATAAAAAATCTTCTTTTAAAGAACCCAAAGAGCTAGAGCTAAGATATTTAGCATGAAACATGTTCTAATGGGTGTCTACCAAGTTTGTTCAAATAAAAGCCCTGGGGTCAAAATTGGCCCCGCCCGGGGGGGGGGTCATTGATTTTCC